CTGGAATTTATTCCTCAAATCTGCCCAAACAGCATCTCTTCCCTTTCAGTCTATCTCCTAGATCATTTCTTATCTTTTCAACTTGTCTCAAGAAGTCCTCACAGCTCAGCTCCCAGGACCAATGCTACCCTGGCCTCCAACCCCACTGTGCCTCACAATGAAAAAAAAAAAATGTGACAAAAGTAGAAAAACCCACAATTTATCACCCTATCTGATACAATTCTTTGTACTTAAAGTTGTATTGTGGCTACCTCTAAAAATGGTTTTCAGTGTTTTAAAGTTTTAATTGTGGGAATTATACTGTAATTAATACAATGATCATCATTCACTAACTAAATTTTATTGAACACTTAACTACATGCCAGTGTCTGTTTTGAGCACTCTATCGATGTTCATGCATTTACTTTTCATGATAATGCTGCGTGACAAACTATGCTTGCCCTCATTTGACAGGTGAAGAAAGTTCAACAGAAAGGCGAGTACCTGGTTCAGGATTATTTGTAACTAGCAAAAACCAAAGCAGCTTCAAGTAGGGCAGTCCAGGCTCAGAACTGCCGGTCCATTTATACCTGTGCGAACAACCAGGAGGCATAAGTCTGAGAAAGTCAGAGATGATGGAAACTGAATCATTTATTACTGTGAAGAGACTTTGAGCTCTGCAATGTACAAACTGGGGGGCAGTGAACTCGCTTACAAGATTTTTTTTTTTTTTTTTTTTTAATGAGACAGGGTTTCACTCTGCAACCCAGTCTGGCCAAAAACTCACGGCAACCTTCCGGCTTCAGCTTCCCTAGCGGTGGGATAGGGGTGTGAGACCGCACCGGGCTTCATGAGAGGAATTAAAATGGGTTTATTTTATCCCTAAAAAGATAACTTGTTCAGATGAGGCATAAAGGGCCCTGCTGCACGAGCACCGCAGGTGAGTTACATCACGCTGTTAATTACCTGAATCTCACACTGTGGAGCCTGACCCAGGCCCCGCCTTCAGCAACGAAGCTCCAAGCGCCCCATCACCGTCCCGCCCGACCCGGTCACCGGCAAGACCCAGATGCCACCGTCGAGCTGCCCGGAGGGACGCGGACCCGGGCAGGGACAGCAGGGGCGGGGACAGCTGGGTCGCGGCCGCCGGCCAGGAAGGGGCCGTGGGCGGCGGGAGCCACACGCGTCGGCAGCGCGGCCCAGAGGGGTGGCTGGGGAGGTCCCCGGCTCCGCTGCGCCCCGGGGTACCCGGCCCGCGTCGCCTCCGCAGGCCCGATCCGCACCCCGCGCTCACCTCGGCCACGGCTGCCTCCCGCTCGGTCACCAGCTCATGTCGCAGGTCGCGAGCCGCGGCCGCCCGGATCCTATCGCGCCGAGCTGCAGAGCGGCCGCCCGGCGGAGTTCGCACCAGCCACGGGGGAGCTCGGCGCCGGGATCTGGCTCACGGCGCTGACAACGTGCGCGTGCGCATGCGTGAGCGCTCGGGTTGCGCCCCCTGCTGGCCCGGAGGAGTCAGAGCACCGCGGGGAAGCGCAGACCTTACCTGGAGACCTTGACCGCCGACCGTCCCTAGGCAGGAAACTGCAAACCCAGACCGAGGGACACCGCGCTCCACTTATAAATCTATCCCAGAATGTAGACGTTTAGCATAATCAGTGTACGTGAGCGTGCAAGTCCCACAGGGCAGTCTGGCACCCTTTGTCACATCCCAAATGCACATCACCGTGGGCAAACACGATCGCTTTTAGGTGAAACACTTACGTGCAAAAAAAAAAAAAAAAAAAAAAAAAGAAAAAAAGAAAGAAAAAAGGAAAAGTGTCATAGATGCTCATGTTCGGGTTTATGGGTAATGATTTTCTCAATTTTTAATTATTGTTCCATGTTTGCCGTGCATACATAATCGCATGCATCGTGGGGAGTTGGGACACGTGCACAACACAGCGGAGGTCTTTCTGGTCGTCCCTTTCCCTTTCTTTTTCCCTCCCCGCTCCATTTCTTGATATTCTTCTTATTTGCAAAAGAGCCATCTCCCCATATAATGATTTTTTCATATGCATGTGGAGAGAACCCAAGAAGCAATTATAACTGTCTTGGATGGAATAAGTCTAGGGGTGAAAATCGAGGCTTTCCCCCTTTGTTCATGACTCGGCCTTATGCATATACAGTGACTTCTGTCGTAAGGAAGTAAGTGGAGGATAAGAAATGGAGAATTGATGGAAAGACCCTGCTAGGCTTCTGTCACAGCTGGTCGTTCACTGGGTCAGGTTTTGGAATCCGAATTCATTTTCGTCACAGCTGGACTATAGCGCCATCTGGTGGAAGTTGTCGCTTACAGCTTAACTACGCGCGGGGCTGAATCTGAGCGAGAGGCTTGTTTCTTCTCAGTATTTTAAAACATGTTTTGCTTTTTTGGTTTTTGGAGACGGAGTCTCACTAGGTATGCAATTCAAACTGACCTTGAACTCACTGGGTAGCCCAGGCTGACCTTGAATTTGCAGGGATCGTCCTGGCTCAGCCTCCCAAGTGCTGGGATTACAGGTGTGTGCCACCATGCCTGGCTTAAACTAGGTTGGTTTGTAATTAATCATTTGTTCTTTCATTAAATGAGGGCTTGCTGTGTAAAGAACTGTGTTCAGCATGGACTTCTCGGAACCTCCCTGTCTTGTTCACCTTTTATAACCGGGAGCTTCATGAAACCTGGTACATCTCAGGCTTGACAGGCACTTGTAGAATGATAAAAGATGCCAGATGCGGGGAGGACCTAATTAGAATAAAGACAAATACACAAGTGAGATTACTCAGGCAGAGGGTGAAAGCGGCATAGGAGAACATAAATAAAGTGTGACTGGCTTTTAAGAAGAAAAAGGACTGGTGAGATAGCTCAGCAGACTAAGCGCCTGCTTTCACAAGCGCAGGAACCAGGGTTCCATCCCAGGTTCCAGATGCCGCGCTGGCCCCGCTCCTGGGCGTGCTGAGCCGGGGACTGAGACCAGGTGTGGTGGCGCACGCCTATAATCCCAGCACTGGGGAGGTTGAAAACAGGAGGGTCGCTATGAGTCGGAGCTTCATAGTGAGACCCTGTACCAAATACATAAATGAAAAAAATAATAATAAAGAGGAAGAAGCCGCATCTGTTTGGAAATATCTAAGATAACCTTGCTGAGTCCTGAAGGCTATTTAGGGTCTTTACAAGTAGAGAGGGGAAATGGGCACTGCAGGCATAGAAAACATCACGAGAAAGGGCACCCATTAAAGGATAAGTGGGGAGACTGGGGAGATAGCTCACCGGTCTAAGCACCTGCCTGGCAAGTGCAAGGACCCGGATTTGATCCCTGGCACTGCATGCTGTGCCCGCCCCGGAACCCCAGGCATACTATTCCAGCCACCAAAACTGGGAATGGTGGTACACACCTGTAATCCCAGCACTGGGGAGGCTGAGATAGGAGGACCACTACTAGTTTGAGCTGCATAGCAAGACCCTATACTAATTGATGAATTAATTAATTAATTAATTAAAAAATTTAAAGGACAAGTGGGCAGGCATGGCGGCCCATGCCTGTAATCCCAGCACTCTGGGAGGCTGAGGCAGGAGGGTCACCTCAAGCTCAAAGCCACCCTGCAGCATAGTGAGCTCAAGCTTCCCTTAGAATACACAGCAATACCTTGTCTCAAAAATAAATAAAGAAGCAAGCAGAAGGGGCCAGGGCTTTACAATTTAGCCCAGGTAAAATGATATGGCTACATTTCCAGGGGTAGAAACCATGCAGGTGATTAGAACCGTGCAGACCTCTTCCCTGCACATCGCCATTTATTATTAATCACCGAGTCGTTGTTCACAAAGCAGTTCAGTAGAACAATTACTTATGTGGCTTTTGGTTACATCAGGCATTATAAGTAATCTGAGGTGAATTAAAGTGTCCAGGGGATGTACCTGCGCTTATCTGCAGACTGTGCCACTTTTATAAGGCAACCAGTAGACATCGGTACCCACCAGGGGTCCTGGAGCCCCTCCTGGGGAGATACTGAAAGATAACAATCTATAAAGTATAAAATTATGCTTATTATATTTGCAGCATGACACAAAGCCAGGCATAGTGGCACACACTTGGAATCCCAGCCCTTGGTAGGCTGAATCAGGAGGAGGATTTCTTGTACAAGGTCAGCCCGAACTACTTAGCAAGGCATTGCCTCGAAAAAACCTTAAATACACAAATCATTAGAAATTTAAAAACAAGCTTGATAAAAGATAATTTTTTAGGACTTCTAAAAATACACGTTTGCTAAAATTTAAAGCTCCAATAGATGAGTACCAGTCAGGTTAGCTGAGTGTCTTTATGAGGCATGACTAAGAAATAAGGGGAATACCGCTGCAGGAGCCATCCAACAGAGAGGAGGAGCCATCCAACAGAGAGGAGGAGCCATCCAACACAGAGGAGGAGCCATCCAACACAGAGGAGGAGCCATCCAACACAGAGGCAGCCCATGGACACGAGCCTCGCCCCCTCATGCACCAGACCCGGTGCCGTGAAACGTGTGGCTGCCCCAAAGTCAAAACCGCACTGCAAAGTCATTCCGACCACCCCGCAAGGTCATTCTGATCCGATTCAGGACACCGAGGCAGCCAGGACAGCGCAACTGAAGACCCCCACAAAAGCGCACTTCTAGAGCTGCTTCAGAATGGGGCAAGAACGATGGGATAAGCATGTACAAAGCAAGGGGAAGCGCATGGGGGAATTCCTGGCAGTGTGACTTCTATAAAATGTCTTAAATTTAAACATTCACACCTCATGCACTGGGGATACTAACGGGTGAAGGAGTTTCATACTTGCAACTGTCTCTCCAATGTACCAGCCAGTGCTCCTGCTTTTATTGTAATAAATGAGGCTTTTATTGTAATTTTTTTAATTTGAGCATTCCTGCATATTTTCACCACACCTCCTAGGAGGTCCTCCACAAGACAGGAAGAATGAATGAATGAAGGGCAGACCAAAACAGAAAAATAAAACAAAACAGAAAACCACTTAAGCCAAATAACATTATTATAGCACGGAAACATTGATGTCACTGACATTTTACAAAAGAAAGCAAGAGTCAGCTTTTGTCCCTTTGGAGAATGGCTTTTGGTTACTCCACCCATGCTGTTCTCAAACTCCCAGGCTCGAGTGATCCTTCTGTTTCAGCCTCTGAGAAGCTAAGACTACAGCTTTTCCGAAGCCGGAGCCCTGGCCCCAAGAGGGCCCTTAGCGCACACAGCTGAGGACTCAGAGGCCTCATCCCGTCTCTGAAGCAAAACACCCTCATGAAGAGGTGCTGTCCTTCACCTGGTCCTCACGGGGTAAGGCCCAGCCTTGCCGAAGCTCCTGCTCCGCGCACCCCAGGATGTCAGTGATGGTAGCTCCTCCCCTGGCGCGAAGAGCAGAGTCTCAAAGAGGGAGGAACCGCTTGGGACACAAGGAGATTCCCATAGAGGAGCTCCCCAGGGTCCCACCAAGGGCTGCTGATTCCTTTCCTTGGAATATGAGGATGTTTATATTTGTATCACTCATCTGCCATAGTTCTTCTGGCTTGTTGCCCTGACAACCAGGACAGAGTCTAGAAAGGACCACCAGGAAGGAGGACAATTAGGGAGAAGGACAATTGTTTGCTGCTAGTTGCTTCCTCAAGGGTGGGGAGCTGAAGGCTGTTCTTAGGGGCCGTCACAATGTCTCAGTTCTGCACATCATGACGGGGCCCCTAGCTGCTCCCAGGCTGGACTTTGGTGGCAGAAGGCGTCTCCCACTGTCACTGAGAAAATCAGGAGCAGTGCTGTGTTGGCAAAGCCAAATCCAGAATCCTGCTAGCCAGTGGCCCGTCCTCTGTCTTCCATGGATTGGGGGCAGTGGCTGCTTACCAGGCAAAAGCCACCTCATCTGCACTGCTCACTGGGGTCCTTGGTGTGGTGGGGGGGGGGACGTCTTCGGTCTCCTGGGATTTGCTCTCCAGCACCTGGCGGAGCCTCTGCATCCCTAGGAAAGGAAGTGAGGCTGCTGTCAGCCCCAGCGGCTGTCAGGAGCAAGAGGCAGCCAGGAGGGGACGAGCAGGCGGCAGCTCACCCAGGCGGAGCCTATGGGTCTTGTCTGAGAAGATCAGACGGAACCAGCCGGGCTCCTTGCACTCGAAGGCCTTGCCGAAGGACAGTAGCACCTTGCTCTCCAAGAGGCGACGCCAGAGCAGCAGTTCCTCCTCAAAGGTGCCCTGGCGAAGGAACTGGGGCAGGCAGAGGCTGCGCCCAGCCCAGGCCCTGCTGCCCTCCCCTGGGGGAGCCCAGCCCGGCCTCTGCCTGTGTTACCTTCCTCAGGTCCACCCAGAGGAAGAAGCCTGCTCCCCCACGCAGGAAGGGGACCCCCAGGGCCTGGAGCTCCTCTGAGACGTAGGTGTGGGCGGCCTTGAGCCGGCTGTGGTTTTCCGGCAGGTACACTTGGTTGATCCAGTCTGGGGAAAAGAGAAGTCAAAAGGTAAGACTCCCCTCTGCGTGTACTCCCTCTTGCCAGTGCACACAATGGGGAGCCCATCCTCGAGCTGCTAGTAGGGGTGGGAACTGGCGATCGGGACAGGCTGGGAATTCAGCGTTCCGTATAAAACATCCTCCCTCCTCCCCTTTTGGAGAGAAGGTCTCACCAGGCTGGCTTCAAATTCTCAATCCTCCTGCCTCAGCCTCCCAAGTGCTGCAGTGACAGATGTACATCACCCTGCCCTGGCCCTGGGATGTCCTTCTGTGACCACTAGGGTCAGTATCTAGGGGCGGGGTTGCAGCTTGCTTGGTGAGCGTGTGTTTAACTTCACTCACTGTGCAAAGGGGCCGAACCATCTTCCATCCCTGCCAGCGATATGCGAGTTCCAGCTGCTCCACTGCCTTGCCAGCATTTGCTGTGCTCTCTATTTTGTTTTAAATAAATTCTAGCTGTGGCAGTGGGCAGTGGGCAGTGGGTGTGCGGCAGGACATGTGCCTCATTTGTAAAGTAATGGGTGGTACAGGGAACCTTGCTTCCTGGCATCCTGGGGGTCTGAGCGAGGAGATTCAGTGAGAGGCTGAGTGAATGGGGCAGGGCGCCATGAACGGGGCAAGGAGCGTGAGCGCTGTCACAGGAACTCGATGTCCAAACTGGGATCGGAACAGATCTGTGCTCAGAGACTGACATCCATTATAATAATAATTTTCCTTAATGACATCTGCTATTGTGGCCAATAATGAGTTTACATTTTACTTTGCTTTTTAAACAGAATCATGCTGTGTTGCTTAGGCTGGCCTGGAATCCCTGGGTTCAAGGGATCCTCCTGTCCCAGCCCCTCAAGTAGCTGAGCTTGTGCTATTCTCTACCAGCTGCTATTCTGAGTTACAAATCCCACTCACCTTGTAAGATAGGCATGATTATGTGTTTTACAGAGGAAGAAACTGAGGCACAGGGAGGTAAGGTAATGTGCTACACAGCCAGGAAGTAACCAAGTAGAGTATGGACCTGTCTCAGATGCCCCCCCTAGAGTCTTCCCATGGGAGAAGTGCTCATCCCTGGATGGCCCCAAAGCAACCCTCTGCTCCTTCAGGGCCCAGGGGCAGGCAGTCACCGCGGTCCCGGAGCAGCTGGGCCATCTGGGACTGCAGCAGGCCGCTAAGGCCGTGATAGCGGCAGAGGGAAGCCACAGCGGTGGCCACTTCCTGGTTTTCCGTGTACAGTGTCCCGAAGCGGAGCCCAGACATCCCAAAGTCCTGCAAGAGGAAGGACCCAGGGCCGTGGCCAGCCCTCCTTGGAGGAAGCTGGTTCCACCCCCACCTGCCCTCCCCCGTCCCGGGCACTCCCAGCCTGGACCAACCTTGCTGGTGGCCCACATCACGTGGGTCCTCTGCGGATCAGGAAGCCTGCAAAGCAAGAGCACAGCACGGGATGGAAGCAGCACAGAGCCAGGGAACACACACGAGGCTCCGACCAAGACCTGAGTCCATCTGGCTTGGGCCCTGTCTCCACCTCTTGTGGCGGAGCAGAAAGCAACAAAGTCTCAAGGTCACATCCAGTCTGCTTTCGTAAGTAAAGTTTCACCAGAACACAGATGCGCTGTCCTGATAGCACAGCGTCTATGACAGAGTTGAGTGAGAGGCCGCCTGGCAAAGGCTGAACTGTTCACCATCTGGCCCTTTATAAAGTGCTCTACCCTCTGACCTACAATGCAGCCCAGGTCACTTCTTGCAAAGACTTCCCTTATTGGTCCCAGGAGACCATGTCCATGAGGTCCCCTGCTATGGTTGACATCTAGATGCATCTACTGGCCGGGCTTTGTTTTTGTACCGGAAATCAACCTCAGGACCTTGTGCTTGCCAAGCAGGCACCTGTACCACCGATCTATATCCCTGGCCCTTGGCAGGGCCTTTGACAAGTGACTGAAACACTACTTCACCACAGCTAAATGTGTTGCTAGGGGGTGGGGCCTGGATGGAAGAGGCAGGGTCTGGGGCTGGGCCTGGCCCCCGCCCCCTCCTCCCTTCTGTCCCCTCTCGCTTCCCGTTCTCCATGCCATGAACAGTTCTGCTCCGCCAGGCCCCTTTTCCTTGCTGCCCTACCTTGGAGCCAGCCAATTGTGGACAGAAACAAAAACAAACCTGTCCTCCAAAGACCTCTGTCTTTCTTATTCACTGTTGTGTCCTCCAGCACCTAGCCCAGTGCTGGCCATGGAAGAGATGCTCAATAAATAATTTTCATGACTGCTAACCATGGATCACTATTTCCCCTGTGTCCCACTGCCTAATGTACAAAGTCAGTGGGAGCGACATTCCACAAGCCGCTGCCCTACAGAGCTTCGGGAAGCTGGAGGACAGAACCAACAGAAAGGGCACAGCAGGGGGAGACGCTTAAATGTACACTCCTCACCAATGACCTGGGCCCCACACTTCCAAAGGTGCTTCCATTACACGTTCTTACTTAAACTCAATCTAATAAAAAAGCACTTTTTCCCGACAATACTGGATTTGAACCTAGGGCCTTTACAATGAACTATGCCCCCAGCAAGTGCAGCCCCCTTTTTGAGACAGGGTAAAGCTGCCCAAGGTGGATTTGAACTTGCCATCCTCCCGCCTCAGCCCCTCAGAGTGCAGGGATCACAAGCGTGCACCACCCTGCCCAGACTAAAAGCTGACGGTACCAAGAGCCAGAAGTGCTTGGCCAGCGCAAGGAGCTGCATAACTATTTGCCAAATGAACAAGCAAGAGAACAAATGGAAGAAAGTGAAGCCACTCTAAAGATCCAGGAAACAGTGCAGGAGTCACCCCGAGCCCAAACCTCCCTCCATCAAGGACTCCCTAGGTCCCTCCTCAGGGTTCTCAGGGACTCTGCAGGATCATCTGAACATCCTGCTCCTTGGGGGACCAGCTGGAGGTTAGAGACAGCACCCTGGGTCAGGTCCCGTGGGAGCAGGACCTGCGGAGGCCCCGTGACTGCGGCCTCACCTCTCCAGGCCGAGGACACTGTGGTACCCCAGCGACTCCTCAAACACAGACAGCATGTAGACCTCATCCACGATCACGTGCAGCTTGTGCCTGGGGTGGGCAGGGGTGGGGCGCAATCTCAGGACACATGTGCGCCCTGGGGTGCGATAGCACAGGACAACAGTGTGTCAGAAACCCAGAGGGCCTGCCGGCTAGCCCAGGATGAGTGACCACACTTGCATTTACCAGAAGCGCCCTTCTTTTGTTTACTTTTGCAAACAAATAGCAGTACATGCAAAGTAGGTGACAGTGGGGTTTTCAAATGTGCAGGTAGAGGGCCCATTTGGGTACCAGGGCTCAAGCAAGAAGGATCAGGGTTCAAGTCCAGCTCCAGCCCTGACTTCACTACTCTAAGCTCCATCCATGGGGGTAATAATGGTGTCTACTCCTGACAGAGTGGTTGGAGGGTGACAAGAGGTGAAGTATATAAAGTGCTCAGCATGGTACCAGGCCCTAGCGTATGCAATCAATGCCAACTGTTTGCCGGGTGTGGTGGTGCATCTCTGAAACCCCAGCACTCAGGAGACTGAGGCAGGAGGATCACTGCAAGTTCAAGGCCAGCCTGGGCTACAAAGTGAGACCCGATATCAAAAAAGCAAAACATGGAAGAGAAAAAAAAAAGACAGAGAGCAACTCACAAATCCCTATTCCTACCCAGTGCCAGAAGGCAGCCAAGGATGGGGTGAAGAGGACTTATGGGCTGCTGGTACCAGGGGCCCCTCTGAGGCCTGAGCTGCCACATACTTTTGGGGAGTAGAGGTGCTTACCTCTCAGCAAATCCTAGGAACCCCTGCAGCTCTTCTGGGGAGTAGACATTGCCCAGCGGGTTCTGGGGGTTGATGAGGATGAGGCCTTTGACCTTTGCACCCTGAAATCATCCACAGGCTGGAAGCCTCAGCTACTGTCTGAGGCCAGAGCCACACTGTCCCCAGGACAGGGTTCAGCATTGGGCAGCACCCTGGGGTGCATGCAGAGGACATATTCACCCCCCTCCCCCGCAGGAAGCAAGTAAGCAGGACATGGGCTTCCATCAGCAGCACTGTGCCCACTAAGAGAAGCAGAGCCATGCGGAGGATAAGCAGGGCCGATGGTGCCAAGTGCCAGCTGGCACAGTGTGACACAAGTGATGGGTAGCGAGTATTGCACTTTCCAAATTTCTGCTGGCTCAAGCCACGAAGGTGAAATCAACCAAGCAGACTGATGGGGGGCCTGGGCACGAATCCCTGGAGCAAGGGCGTCTGCCTTTCTTGGGGAGACCCTAGGTCCTCTTCAGGTTGGCAGGACCACCTTTCAAGTTGCCAGGGAGACCCTAAGCTAACCCCAGCCTGCTTTGCTCCACCCTTGGCCCCTGAAGCAGAATCGGAGGGCATGGAGCGGGGAGCTTTTAATGAAGCCCCAGCTGATTCTCTACACTGCAGTTTGAGGATCTTTCCTAATGTGAGTTCTGCACTACTCCTCCACCCTCGTGTCCCCATCACAGGCCACCAACCTGGCTCCTAGGAGAAGATCAGCCACACACAGGAAGTAGGAGGCAGTGCCCCTTGTAGACCCCCCCTACTCCCAGCCCTGCTTGGAGGGGAGCCCCAGACCTCTGATGTAGCTCCTTGCAGGGCCAACTCCAATTTCTCCACTGTGAGCTGGAAGGGGCAGCTGTCCAGACCAGTGACCTATAAGAGACCCATTGTGGCCACCAGCAAATTGTGACCCTTAATCCCACCCTCTCAGAACCCTCCGCCCTTCTAATCTCCAGTCCCTGAAACACGGGCGGAGCCCCATGGTCTCGCTGCCACCCAGCCCTCCCAGCCCACCTCACACAGGCCCAGGGCTCCTCTGCTGGGGGCCCAGGACTTCCAGTGCTCTGCCCCTTCCCAACCCCTTATTTCCTAGGAATCTCAGAGCCCAGAACCTGCAAGGCTCCAGGGACCAAGGCACAGGACCCAGGCCCAGGCAGCTGTGGGACAACAAAAAGCGACACTCTCTTCCCACTGTAGCTCTAGAGCCCTTGGATCTCCCCAAAGCCACTTGGAAATGCAAGCCCAGGAGACAGCCTAGAGGGAGGGATGCAGCCACTCTTACCTCACTGTCCAGGTAGACATAGGCCAGCCGGACGTTGCCATAGAGATAGACATGCTGCGTGATGGCCCCGTAGTAAGGGGTGGGGATCAGGAAGGCCTCTGGGGGAGGATCAGGCAAGGCCTGTCATCCCTAGGAGACACCCCAGACCCCCGTGCATAGGCCCTGTTGCACCTGCAGCTTGTTCCACTCCCAATCCCCAAAGCAAGTGTGAAAGCCCAGATCTGCCGAGATTAGTTCCTTTCTTAACACAAATGCTCTCCGATTGACAACAGGGCTGTATCCAGATAATCTCATTATAAAATGAAAATGTCATTAAATCAAAAATGTATTTAAGGCCAGCCAGATAGCTCAGTGGACTAAAGTGACCGCTCAGGCAAAGTGCAGCTGTGGGGCTCGATCCTCACCTGCCGTGCACTGAGACAGCACCGAGACTGGGCGTGGTGGTGCAAGCCTGTAATCTCAGCGCTTGGGGAGAGTCAAAACAGGAGAATCACTATGAGTCCAATCCACATAGTGAGACCCTGTGGACCCTGTCCTAAATACATTTTTAAAAAATTCCTTAAAAAATGTATTTAATCATTGCCACACATGGCGGCACATTCAGGAGGCTGAGGCAGGAGGTTCACTGTGAGTTTCAGGCCAGCCCAGTCTACATAGTGAGCTCAAGGCCAGCCTGGACCACATAGCCAGACCCTGATTCAAAAAAATGAGATGAATAAGTTTTTTTGTTTTTTAAGAAATGCATTTCATCCACCTCGCCTATGGAGCATCACATCTTAGCTACTTAGGCCCTGTAGAGCAGGACACACCACTCACTGCCACTGCTGAGCACCACAAGCAAATGTCGTAGTACATACTGCCAGCTGGGCAAAGACCACATTGCAAAAAAGTACAGTTGCTACTAAATGTATATCACTTCTATGCCACCAACAAGCCTAAGTCAAGCCATCCCAAGTTGGGGACATCTATAACTTACTGTGAGAACTGTGCTAACCATTTACTGGCATCTCACCTGCTCCCCCATCACCACTGTCTGGGACACAAACCTTTGTCACCCTAACTTTGCAGGCCAACTGTGAGGGTTTGTGTCTAGAGGTCCTCCCAAGCCTCATGTAGCCATTGGGTGGACTTCTAGAGGTAGTGACTAATTTACGATCCAATGCCGGGATTGTAAGTGTGAGTGCTACACCTGCCCTGTGCGTGTAGCCTGAAATACAATATGGGGAGGCTGAGAGAGGCTTGTTAGCAGCCACGGCTGCTGCTCCTCCCTTTGCTTTTTGCTGTTTTCTACAGCCAGGAACTGCTGCTCTCTGCCATGTGCTGCTCTGCCTTGAGGCTAGCGGAGTACGGACGGAGACCTCCACTAACTGTGAGCTAAATAAACCTTTCCTTCCTTTATTTTGGGTGTTGGGTATTTTGCCCCAGCAACAAGAGAAAAATAGCCAACACAGAATTTGGTACTGAGAAGTGGGGTTGTTACCTGACCATGTCATTTAAGAGCTTTTGAGTATGGCTTATGGGAAGAGATAGGAAAGGTTCGGAGATGTCACATAAAAGAGAAGCGCTGGAATGCCTTCAGCTGTTCTGTGTGGGAGATTCTGGTCAGAGCTCAGCAGACCACAGGCTGGTGGAAATCCTGCCTCTAAAGACCAGGCTAGGGAGAACTCTGCTGGAAAAAAAGGACTGCACTGGTTGTTGGACTCCAGAGGATGTGCGTTATGGCTTGGCAGAAAATTTTCTGAATTTTTGCTCAAGTCCAGAGATTTTGCCTGAGACTGAGATTAAGCACAGCAGACTGATTAACCTGGCAAAAGAAATTTCAAGGCAGTCAAATGTTGCGGTGGTTTCATGGCTATTGTTGGGGACTTTTAGTAAGATTTATGTTGAGAATCAAGAGCAAATAGCCTGGCAGGATGATTTAAAATGTGAGTTTGGCCAGAAAGGAAGCATCCATAAAGCTGTGGGCTGCAAAGATAGAGCTGAGAGGATCTCCACTGCTGAGAAGGAACAGGAGAATGGAAAGGATGGCCCGAGGCATCACAAGAAGCAGCAGGCTCCACCCTTTGAAGCCTCACAACTGCAAAACTGAAAGACTGTGCTTTGAGGAGAAAGCCGCAGAGAGCCATCTTCCAGAGTGGTAGAGGCACAGAGAACTTGATCCTCAGAATCAGGGTCAGAGTACTCGGCAATCCAGGCACTTGACCCCTATAGCGAGAAGAAAGCCTGGCTACTGCTCCAGATGGCAGCAGACCTTGGCATCATCTACTTGGCACTGGTTTGGGACACATGCACAATGCAAGAGTTCCGAGGTTAAGACTCCACCTAGATTTAAGAAGGCCTGGGATGCCATGCAGTGTGCCCCAGGGAGGGCAGTATGTGAAGCCATGAGTGAGAAGCCTAAGGTTCAGCAGAGACCCCAGAAGTTTGGAAAAGCTAGGAACGTGAATTATCTAAGAAAAACTGCAAGTAAGGAGCAAGGCAGACCTAAGAGACAAGGACAGGAGCTACCACCAAAGGTGGCAGGAGCAGAGCCACATAAGGCTTTTGGAGCAGAGCACCTGTCACAGATTCCTTCAGATGTTCCACATGGAACTACAGGACTTAATGTTTGCCCTTCTCAATTTTGTATCCTTCTGTTTGTAACTTTTGGATTGGTACTGTTTACTTGTGCCATTAAATGTTGGAAGTGTTTCACTTTTCTTTTATACAGGGGCTCACAGCTAAGAGCTTGCCTTGGATCCTGGAGGAGACTTGGAACTTGGACTTCTCAGCTATGCTGAAACTGTTACAACTTGGGCAACTCTTAGAGATGAACTAAAATGCCTTTTGTATAAAGGGATGTGTGTGAGTCTTGGGGGGGAGCAGGGGTGGAATGTTATGGCTGTGTCTAGTTGTACCCCCAAAACCTCAGGCAGTCATTGGGTGGACTTCCAGAGGTTGTGATTAATTCATGATCCAGGGCTGGGATTATAAGTGTGAGTGCTACACCTGCTTGGTGCAGACAGCCTGAATATGACATGGGGAGGCTGAGAGAGGCTTGCTAGCAGCCACAGTTGCTGCTGCTCCCTTTGCTTTTTGCTGTCTTCCACTGCCATGAGCTGTCACCCTCTGCCATGTGCCACTCTGCCTTGGAGCCAGCGGAGTATGGACTGAAACCTCCACTAACTGTGAGCTAAATAAACCTGCCCTTCCTTAATTTAGGGTGTCAGGTATTTTGTCCCAGCAATGAGAGAGAAGTTCCCAGGACACCAACGAACTGAAACTTTCAGAGTCCCTGTTCCACTGTTCTAGAATGGGCAGGAAACTATCTATGAGATCTCAGAGCAGGTCTTTTTCTATTGTAAATGCCAAGGACAGCCTCTCTTTGTGTGATTCTGAGAAATTACCTAACCTCTGGGCCTCAATTGCTTCACTATAAAAACGAGGGCAGCGATACAGATCCAGCTTCCAGGATGAGGACAGGGTCAAATGACGCCCTGAGAACAGTCACACACCGAAGTCTGGAGCCAGTGCCACTTATGGCCAATCAATGTCATTAATATTTACTGTTATTAATTAAGCTATGGTGAGTGAGCCTGCATTCCTTACAACTAGCACCCCTTCTCCACGGCCAGTTCCATGGTTTGTTTTTGTTTTGTGTTACGAGGGATTGAACCCAAGAACTTTCCACTGAGCTACATCCCAGCTCCCTTTTTTTTATTACCTTGAGACAGGATCTCTATAAGTTGCTGAACTGTCCAAGCTGGGCTCAAACTTGCAATCCTCCTGCCTCAGCCTCCCATAATTCTGGGATCATGGGCATGTACCACCATGCCCGGCTCACCATGTCTATTCAGTAGACATTCAGATTTTTTTTCTTGCTAAGAGAAAATGAGATTTTTCTGGCAGGACCAGCAATTTGTCCTAGGGAGGCAGGCTTTCTTCCAGTTTGGTTTGAGCCAACCCTGGCTCTTCAGACCCCTGGGCCTGAGGACTGCACTGGGAATGGGTTAATGTCATTTCTGGGAAGATACAGAGACCCTATGGGTGACTCTTGGAGAGAATGCCCCAAATCCTAATGGCACAGTGACCTCCGGGACTGCTGTCCAGTCCTTCATCTAAGGCTGCTGAGTCTGGGGTCGCCTAGCACAGCTAATAGCAAAGGTACACAGCCCCGGAGGGCAGACAGCTGGGGACAGGCCTTGCAGTCACTTACCACCCGCCTCGCACAGCACGGTGGCCAGAGCTGAGAACAGAGAGGCACAGCCGTTCAGGACAACCACCTGGGGACAGCGGTGATTCTGCTTCAGCACGGAGGACCCACAGCCCCGGTCCCAGCACAGCACAGGAGGAGAAGCAGGTCCCCCTTTGGTGCCCTCAGGCTGTTTCCACAAAGCCCAGACTTTCAGCCAAGCTCATTTATGGGGACCCTGCTGGGGTGACCAAGATCTAGGGAGCAGTCACTCCTGAGGCCCAAGGTGGGAGGGGGGAGCAGGGCCCACCGCACAGCGTGGGGCAGAAATCACAGCCCAGCTCCATGTCTAAGGTTGGGGGAGGAAGGTAGAAGGTGATCCTCAGGCCAGCTTGAAACAAATCAAGATGAGTACAACACAGACCCCCAACCCCATGCCCCGGGACAGCCCAAAACTCGAGAGCAGACAGAGGAGCAGGGGAGGGGGCTACTCACATTCTCTGGTTTGAGGGGTGCCGGGCTCTTACAGTAATAAGACAGAAACTTGGCCACTTCCTCCCGGAGGCTAGAAAAGACAGACAGACCTATGATCAGTGCTTCCAGAGGGTCCCCAACCCACAGTGCAGCCCGGAGCTGCCCTGCCATGGCTTCTCCATCTCCCACACGTGGGAAGTACGGCCAGGACCTGTCTTCCATGGGGCGGCCCTCCCCTCACCCCCTCACTCTTCCAGACTAGATCCAGAAGAGCCCCCAGCGGCTCCTGGGCTCCGAGGTGGAGCTTTTAGAAGGAGACTGAGTCACGGGGCGCTGTACTCTTCTGTGCATTCGCCCTCAGATGAGTTCATCCGTATGCCCTGCTAGCAGGTGGGGCCTGGTCAGAAGAGGGCGGCTGCTGGGGGGGCAGCCTGGCAGGGTCTCTCTCCCTCCCTAGCTCCTCCTCTCCTCTGCTGCCTCCTGGCCGCCATGAGGTAAGCAGTGTGGCTCCGCTGGGTCTTTCTGCCATGCCTTCCTGTCTTGGGAGCCAGCTGACCACGAGCCCAAATAAATCTCTCTTCCTCTAAGATGTGGCTGTCACATATTTCATCCAAGTACAAGAAACCCCATGCTCTGATTCTGTAATTTCGTTCTCAGGGGTTCTGTGACACCCAAATGGCCTACTTTGGGGACTGTGGAGGTATCAAAGGTAAAACTAGCCTAGCACTGTGGTGCACACCTAAAATCTCAGCCTCAAGAGGCTGAGGCAGAAGGATCTCAAGTTCGAGGTCAGCCTAGGTAGACTGCCTGGTGAGTTCAATGCCAGCCTGAACTACATAGCGAGAGTCTCATAAAACAAACAAACGAACAGACAAAAAGTAACACTAGCTGAAGGTCTAGCTAGTGGTAATAATAAACGTTATTATTTAATAGCAATTGTTATCATAGTTCCTCTTACTAGCATTTATTATTTGGAGGCCGTTATACTGTGACCACTCTCATTTTATTGCCATTTCTGATAAAGACCCCGAGGTTTGAAGGAATCAGGTCACTTTCTGGGTAAGTGGCAGTGTCCATGCTTCAGCTGAGCACTTTGAGAACATGTACTTCAGCCTTGAGGCCATAATGCTCGTTAATTGAAAGAAACCACACACACTGAAAACCAAAGCACAAATAAAGAGCTTTAAAATAAAAGATAAATAGATCTTTTGCGACAGGGAAGAGGAAGAAGGGATAGAAGAAGGGGAGAGAGAAAGGGATGTCAAAAGGATACAGCTACGTTGCCTCCGTACGTGGACCAACGCCCCACGAAGAACGTGGTCAGCGTGTGCTGCAAACGTGCTAATAGGAAATAAAAATGGAAATAGAAAAACAAGCGGAACATGTGCTTTAAAACTGGGGCGAGGTTGAGACCCGATGGGCGCTGAGCTCTTTCTTAGAAGTGCTCACCCGGTCCACACTAGGACTAGACTTAGTCACCCCTGCCCACTGAGGGAAGCAGCAGCCCACCGGCTGCACCCACACCGACTCTTGCTTCTCCAAAGCCACAGAGAGAGCAGGGACGGCTTCTTGCCGGAATGCCCTCCCTGTCTCAGCTCAGGATCGCAGACAGCCAGACGGAGCCCTGAGTTGAGGCTGGGGCTGGCAGGGAACCCGCGCCCGCAGGTCCTCTCAACCTGCCACCGCCACTGTCTAGGGCTGACAGTGCTTTGTCGCAGGGCAGCCCTGGGCACTGTAAGACCAGCAGTGCCCCGGCTCTGTCCACTGGGTTCGTAGCATCTCCTGTGGACAATTCAAATATGTCCACCCACTGCCTTTATCCCAGGGGAGCATAACTCCCCCTGCTAAGAGCCACCAGCCTAGGACTGCTACTTACAACGGGTGTCCCCTCCAGTCAGGGTACTGCAGCAGGGATGGCTCCACACGCAACATGTCACTCTGACTCAGCTGCAGACAGAGAGGGAAGAGCTGGGTTTGGGGCTGGCACCGCTGTCTATATCCCTGCAGCACCAGAGCCTTATGCCCATTTGGCAGATGAGGAAACCGAGGCTCAAAAAAAGTGAGGCACTCTGCTAAGGTGGCATAGTTAACAACTTTGAAAACCAGGTGTTTTGGATTTGGCTTTGGGGTGTTTTTGGTGTTGCAAGGCATGGAACCTATGGCCTTTGCACTGAGCTACATCTTCAGACCTCCTCTTTTTTTTGAGACAGGTTTTTGTCAAGTCATTAAATTGCTCAAAACTAGGCTCCAACTTTCAACCCTCCTGCCTCAGCCTCCCAGAGTGCCAGTACTGAAGGAAAGCACACCCAGAACTTTTGATGGCTGGTACAGTATTGCATTTTAGGGAAGGGTCTACAGGGTCTACAGTGTCTCACTACTAGATCAGACTCGTAGTGGTCCGCCTGTTTACAGTGTCCCAAGAGCTGGGATTACAGGCAGGCACCACCACGCCCAGTCTCAATTGCCCTCTCAGCGAGCCCCAGGGTCAGGGCCAGCGCCGCAGGCCCAGGGATCAAACTCCTGATCCCTGCTCCTGCTTGCAGGTGTTTTAATCTGCTGAGCTATTTGACCAGCCCTTGACACAGTACTTTTTTTTTTTTTTTTAATGAGCAGAATATATTTATTGAGAGAAAGAAAGCTCCTGTCCAAGAGAGGGACAGGAGGGGGGGCCCCCGAGCGGGTAGTTCCCTGGGAAGCTGTCTCTTCCAGGGACTTTTATAGTGCAAAGCCATGTGAGGCTAAGGTAGAGGGGATGGGAACTCGCTTAGGTGGACAGGAGGTGGGACAAAACTATGGTCAACCAATGGGATTACAAGCACCATTGCTCAGGTAAAAGTGATTAAATCCAGTATCAAATGGGAAAGCGAGTCTCGTTGCAAGCGGGCACGAATACGGAACAGGGCCTCTTCCTGTTGGGGGTTGGGCTAGTGACTCGTTTGGGCTCTTTCAAGTTGATTGATACTATTTAGAATATCAACCCCTAATGCCCATCCTTAGGGAAGTATGTAGCTGTGCTTCCTCTTTTTGTCTAGGTCTTGAGGTATGGCCCACATGGGAGTGTCTGTCTCTTCTTTACAGAATATCATCACCTAGAAATTCAGAGGGGTGGGCTTATAGAAATATAGATATGAGACAAAAGCCTAGTGTCCCAAGGGAGCAGGGAGCAGTAAACAGCGCCCAAGGAGACCTGAGAATAAACGGCGCCCAAGGAATGCTGAGAACACAAGGGTCGTGGCCATCACAGGGCATGGGCATCAGCCACGTCCCTCCCTCCTGCCACCCTGGGAAGCTATGGCCACCTGTGCTACCAAGCGCTTGACAATTATCTTGTCTACACTGAGACTCGCTGGGTTTTGAAGACTTGCTTTAAACACCATGTGCAAAAGATAGCCGTTTTATACTAATTACATGTTGACACGATCACATTCTAGATAGATTAGGTAAATAAAATAGATCATTAAAATTAATTTCATCAGTTATTTTTTACCTTTGTATTGAAAATATTAAATCATGTATGCATTTCCTGCTTTATTCATTTCAGTGCTGAGCTACCTGAGGAGGTCCTGACTGGGTAAAATTGTCCCTCTCTTCCAACCCTGTCATATAGGGATGCTATATCAGTAGCTCAGCATTGGCCAGCCACACAATGGGAATTTACACCACAGGAATTAGCAAGGTCACAAATGGGGCATGTGGGTCTCATGCAGTCAGCTGTTAAATACAAGCGGTACAGAGCAGCTCCCTCTGGGACCAGGGACTGGCACAGCAGGGGGGCAGGGAAAGGACCGAGCCTGAAGAGGGGAAGAGTCCGTCGGGATCCGAGTGCAGAGGTGACTCGCCCAGATCTCACAGGAAGCCATCCCAAGGCCGACCTGGAACCTGGCTCCCAGCCCAGGGCCCCCAAGGAATACAGCGGGCTCTTGCGGGGGAGGCATTCGGGGCAGTAGCCACCCAGTGGAGGGTCGCTCACTCACCCGTCTGGACAGCAGGTCAAAGCAGAGCTTGTTCTCACTGGTGCCCAAGTTAATGATGCCCTGGGGACGACAGGCACAGAAACGAGGGTGGAGGTAGATCCATGTCAGTGCTGTCTTAGAAGTTGGAACATCCCAGGACACCCACGCTCACCCAGGGGTGACACAGTTGTGACCCTGAGTTCTACTTCAGGTCTGAAGTTGAACAGTAGGGACCAGGGATGTGGCTCTGTGGTAGAGCACCTGTCCAGCTGGCACAAGGCAGGGGGGTTGAGTTGAGTGCTCAGCACCACACGCATGCATACACACACACACACACACACACACACTACAGTTCTTTAACTCCTTCCTTAAAAATCAGGGTCCCTGGTCCCAGGTCCCAGCACTGATCTGGAAACAAAGCATCCTTGTTTGTAGCAGGAAACAAAGAATTCCCATCCCATGTGGCGTAAGAGCCCTACACACTACAGCTCCCTGAGCTACATCAGAAGCCTGGTGAGTCTGGGGACCGTGTCTCTAACCAGACAGGGGTAAGCTGATGTTATGCGTCCAGGCAAGGCGCAGGCCCTGCAATTCCCTCCCAGGTCCAGGGGGTGGTGCTTCACTCACATCAGGGTTCTTGACCTCGTCATACTCGTCCATGTGGTAGGTCCGGTAGCCCTCCTCAGCAGAGTCCCAGAACCATTTGATGACTCTGCCTCTAGAGGACAGGCAGGAGCTGTCCGAGGAGAACTTGGAAACGGGGTCCCCCACTCCATAGAGGCCCGGCAGCTTCTGGTCTGGTTTTCCGGGGCTTTCTCTTCCTAAGCCATCCTGGTAGCTACTGACCACGTCCTGCGTGGTGGCCGAGCCTAGACAGGTGGCAGGTGCCCTGGATTCCTTCTGAGGAAGAGGAAACATCTGCAAAAAGATAGCAGCACTCCGTGGGGGCATCACCATGTCATTCAGGCCACCCTCAAACTCCTGGGCTCACCCGCTCCTCTTGCCTCAGCCTTGCTAGTAGCTGGGACTAAGGCAAGCTCCACGCTCTGCCCAGCTAGCCAATTAGTTATCTGCCCCTTCAAGTTAATGCTTTCTGCGGCCCTTACAAGTTGTAATCATGTGAGAGATCGCTATCCGTTACGTGCTAGGGATTGCACCTACTACACTTAAACGTGACTTAAATGTGTCCCGTTTCCGCAGGATCCTTTTACTGTGCCGCGTTGTTTTTGCATCCTTGTTGGCCTCATTTTCAAGACAGTGGGTTAAAATCTGTCAAGCAGGTTGTGGGTGGGTGTCGTGTGGTATAGACAGCAGTGTGGAGGCCATGGTGGGGCGAACTGGGGCGAGGGTGACGCTGGGTCCCGTGGGTTCCTGGGCCTCTCCCCACCCGTGGAGGTGCGCCCTTCCCTGCTCTAGCCGCACCCCTCTACAAGGAGGACCTACACTCCCCACCGCAAGGGGCAGCAGCGAGGCTTGCGGGCTACGGAGCGCTGGGCGCTAGGACCAGACCCATCCTGGCTCTTGGCCCGCGTTCGCAAGACTGAGTCTTTTCAACAGAACTCTGGGGTTAATTTTCTGACCCTCCGACCGCCAGTGCACGTCTCAGACGCCCAGGGAGCCCTCCACGGTTTCATTTTGCTTTGTGAGAGGAGGGAGGGTTCCCCCAACTTGGCGGGGCTACCCCCGCTGCTCACCTGGGCTCCTCACGACAGCAGGGGCCTGACGGGAGCCGCACTGCCGGGGTCCCGGCTCCTGGCTGAGTAGGGCACGGGCGGGCGACTTGCACCGAGGAGCCCCCTCAAGGCCGGGCAGCCCCGCGAGACGCCCCGCCCCGGGTTCCGGGCGCAGGAAGTGTGGTCCGCGCCAACGGCCTGGGCGCCCGGATGAGCCCCGCCGCTTCCTTCTCTGCAAGGTGAGCGACGCACCAGAGATGGGCGCCTGTCCCCTTTGCTGGTGTCAGCCTCCTTTGCCGCGAGCAGTGCACGGGTGAGGACCCTGCAAGCTGCCTGTCCGCCCACGCCGTGCTTGCGCGCCGGGTGAGGTCGTCTGCTTGGGGCCCGCGCCCTGGCCACACAAATGGACTCAGGGAGGAGCCACGCCTCCCGGGGCCGCCCATGGAACCCGAGAAGGGAGAGGACTCGGGGATCCGACCTCCGCCCGCACAGCGACCTCTCACAGGCGCGCCCCCATTAGCTTAGCCTATAAACCACATCTTCCAGTAAGAACAGATATTTAAAATGATTAGACGAGGCAAAGCAGTTTTGAGTGTCATAAGGCTTTCTGCCTTGGGGAAAACAAGGGAATGACCCAGGCAGAGTAGCAGCCTGGAATGCTTGCGGACAGAGGTCCCTCCCGCACCGTCCCAGGCCCTGAGGGCTTCAGGGTATCTGCAGCCTCCACTTTGTTTTCTAGTGGGAGGGAAGGCATAGTAGGTAATCTTTGTAAACCCGGGTCCTGCTTGACTGATACAAGAGGACCAATAACTCTCCTTCCTCTGCTTCTTATTGACTGAGCCCTGGGCATCAGTATTTGGGGGAGGCCAACGCTGCCCCCAAGCCCATGGACAGCGCTTGTTGCTTCTGCCTGCACCCTGCCTATTTTGGTACTGGATGCCGTGGTGCCCAGGCGTCACGGGAGGAGCCACCCAGGGTTTTCCGTGGGAAAGGAAGCAAGCAGGCTCCCTGGTGCAGGCACGGGGTAAGGCCACCTTCCTGCCACTCTGACTTTGGCTTTTTCTCCAGGGAAGTTGTTTCATTTAGAAGGGCAGTCTTAACCAGGCAGGATCTGTGCCCATCAAGGGTACCTCAAGCAGCAAGGTGGTGGCTGGGGCTTCCACCCAGGGCCAATGAGATGATTACTTCTACTGACAGAGGTCCCCAGAGTGTCTGAGATATGGGTGAATTCTGACACCACAGGGTCACAGTCGGTATACTAGAACTTTGATCTTAAAAAAGACACTGAACAATCAGAATTCCTTGTTGTGCTTCTACTTGTTAAGTTTTTTTAAAAACCTAACCAAAATAATTGTCATTGGAAAATAAAAGAACCAAATGTGGACCCATGGGAGAGAGTATGGTCACAAATCCAAATGGCTAACAAGAGCCATCAGTTGTTACTGAAAGCCATTTTTTTTAAAATATTTATTTTTATTTATTACATTTTATTTATTGTGTGTGTGTGTTTGTGTGTGGCCAGCTCAGCCCACCAGGGGGCGGGGCTGGCTGGCATGTGGTGCTGGGGGATCGAACCGAGGTCCCTGTGCTTTGCCAAGCTTGTTTCAAGTAGGTGCTTTAGACCACTGAGCCATCTCTCCAGCCCCTACTGAAAGCCTTTTAGCATCTACAATAGGGGTGGTGAAACTTTTAGAGACTGGGCCCCTAAAATGCGATCCCAAACCCACTTATTTATGGTAAAGTGCCAATACCACAATTAAACCTGATCACTGAATTTGAGTTTAGATAAAACAACTCAGAGGTTAACATCTTTTCTCTTAAAAGAAGTAACAGGGGCTGGGGAGGCTGCTCAGTGGTCCAAGCATCTGCCCGGCAAGCATAAGGACCTGGATTTGATCCCCAGGACCACATGCCATGCCGGCCCCAAACCTCGGGTATGCCGTGCTGGCCCCGAAACCACAAGTCATGGCACACGCCTGTAATCCCAGCACTGCGGAGACTAAAACATGAAGATTACGAGTCTGAACTGTATAGTGACACCCTGTACCAAATAAAGATTAAAAAGAAAAATAACAGAGCTTTCGGTAACACTAACAGTTCTTATCAAAAGGCAAAAGTTTCCATTTGAGGAGGTTCTGCACAGTCCATGGGACCTTTGCAGGTGCTCGTGTGCTGATAATCTGTCACACAATTAATGCTGATAATCTACGCTCCTACTTCATTAGTTTGAAAGCAACACAGGGAGCACTCAGGTCATCAATCTGTTATATCAGATTTGATACAAGATTATATAATTTGACATAAAACTGAAGTCAGCTACTCACAAGCATAAGATCAGAATAAGAAAAGTCTTTTTACTTTTACAAATTATTGGACAGAGAATTCTGCTGTTGAAGATGTTTCAGATCTGTCAAACGTGCTGTCCTTTGTCATCCCTTCCCACGCTTATTTTCCAGTGTTGCACACAGGAGATAGTATGGTTCCACAAAGAGCTTTCTTGGATTCCAGTAGCTCCATTTCCACATTTTTAAAATCTAACCAGTGTAAGCAGGAAAGATCAAGTTCAAATTTGCTTTATCAAGAGAACAGGGTTGTCGCCCCCTTGTGGACATTGGCAGCATCTACAATGTTAGCAAATCCTTTGTAGATTTCCTGATAGCTTGTAGGGTAGTCTGCAAATGTTATAGAATGTCCTGGGTACAGTTTGAGATTTGGAAAATACTTCAGCTGCCCACTTTGAAGGTTTTGGTGGCTTGGCTTGTATTCCAGTGGCAGGAGGGCATAGGTGCCTACTAGGGCACATGCTTATAAGATAGTGGTAAGCACAGTTCTGGGTGCAGAGCCCCTGTGCTCAGATGGAAAGGACTTTGTGGAGAAACGCACCAGATGCGATTTTAACAGTTACATTAAAAATGGATACAGAAGATACCAGATATTTGGAACTGGAAGCTCGTGTCTCTCTGAAATAGACTTGAAAATCCCTCACCCTGAGGTGAGGACAGCAGGATGTGGAGCCTTTGAGAGGTGACATAGTCCTGAAGAAAGGATGCCCCTCATCCCTCCTGTCATTGAAGTCATAGCGACAGTGTGGGTCCTTACCAGGCACCCGTCTACCCAGATTTTTTTTTCTTTTTTTGTAGAACCGGGGATTGAACTTAGGCCTTCGCACTTGCCAGGGAAGCACTTATTCCACTGAGCCATCTCCCCAGCCCCGTACCCAGGTTTTGATCCTGTTCTCTCCTGCCTCCAGAATCATGAGTGATAAAGCACTAGGTTTGAGTTTATTATTAGAGAAGCCTGAACAGACTAAGTCACCAAGCTTCTCTTCAAAGATATGTTTTAAAAGCCTCTTAGAAAGGTGAGACTGGAAAATTGTCCTGTATTTGGGAGCAGGAATACCCTCAGTTGTACCCCAAACCGGCCACTCAGCCCATGGGACAAAGGTAGATGTGCTCTAGGGAGCACCTGAGATGCTGAGCGAGTGCTTTGTCAGGTAAGGCTCACTTCTGTCCTGAACTGCTCTACATAGATGCTTCACAACTGGCCATGTTTATTAAACTTGTAAGGCATGAAAAATCATCCTGCTCCCAAAGGTGATTATGAAGAATGAAAAGAAGCCCTAAATGTAAAGGAATATATAATTTATTAGACATTGAGTAAAAAAATAAAACCATTTAAGAGACCCAGAGAGCTCCCTTCATCCCCACAGGCATCTCTACACCCTCCACCCGGAACCCGATAAAAGCATTGTAAGAACCATGACTAGCAAAGCTTAAAATAATGCAGAGCTAGACAAGCACCAGATGCACGGCTTATAGAGGTTGATGACCCAGTTGGTGGCTACCCTTCCTAAAGGAGACCATTCATACAGCTGCAGCATCAGTTCAGCTCCGATTCTTGTGGTCCAGAGGGATCCAGAACATATTCTGAGCCTATGGCATCAAACAGTAACTTCTGTATCCAGTATTGCTTCTGATCTGCTATTGCTTGTCTAAACCGCTTCATGGCTACAGGATCCAAATGGGAAGAAAGAGAAACACCACCATGGTGGTTTTACAAGTGGGGCCAGACTTCTCCAGGTCACTCTAGACCACCAGAGTCTCTTCTTCAGGGATGCTGAACTTCAGCCTACCCTTCTTTAGGATACGATTCGCTGAAATTTTTGATATAATATCCTCACACTACAGGCATCTCCATTTCCCCTGTCAAAGGTTATACCTGGCTCTTGTTCTTCTTAACATAATGTTTTCTACACTAACACCACAGATACTTGTTCTACACACACCTCCATGACAATGAATGACTTGCTGTTGTGTTCCCATTCAATGCAGTGCTGCCTGGCATGTCATAGGATGTAATATTTTAAGTCATGTACACCATCCATTCAGAGGCTGTGAAGTGCATGTCCTGTGGCTGTCTCCTGTACCAGAGGGTCAGCCTCATGAAAACAAAGCCTTGCTTCTTCCCACTCGTTCCTGGACCCAATGCTTTGGTCAGTGACAGGCGCAAAAGACACCCACAAGATAGAATGAACGGTAGGTACCTGAGATACAAGTTACTTCCTGTTTACAAAAAGAACACAAGTAAACTGGAAACATGGGTCAGTGTGCTGAAGCTAGAGGTTGACTTAGAGAAGAGTTGATGGGGCCTCTTTATAGGATGCTAGGACTACTAGGTCAGCACCACTTACCACCTGTGAGTTGCTGGTGATTTTCTGCAAAGCAGAGGCGAAACCAGCCAGGCTCCTTAAGCAGGTAGGATTGGCCTCGGGACAAGATCAGCTTGTGGTCCAGGAAGCGGCGGTAGAGGACCAGCTCTTCTTCAAATGTACACGGTTCCAGTAACTAGGGCAGGCAGAGGAACAGAGCTGAGCCCACGCCTCCCTCACGGCTCAGCCCTGGAGCACCTGTCCCCATTCCTAGACCTCACGTTTTTCAAGTTGATCCAGAGGTAAAGGCCGCAGCTGCGACTGTGAAAGAAGATCTTAAAGTTGTGCACAACCTCCAACTCACGCAGCGTTGTGATGACATACGCATGAGCTGTCCGGAGCCTCGAGTGAACAGCGGGCAGGTAAATACGGTCAATCCAGTCTGGAGACATGGAACAGAGAATGGATCGTGGATCTTTTGACAGACTTGCCAGAGGGCTACTTCCAGTCTCTCGACCTGAGCATCATGCCAGATCCTACCCAGGACTAAGTCTGTCTCACATGGGAGCTGTAGCATCCACGTCGAACACACTCACCTCTTATCTATGGCTTTGGAGAAAACTGGGCTTTGCAGTGGTCCAGGGGGAATGATCCCTTCAAGATTAAACCCGTGAGGCAGCCTATTCCATAGAGGGGAAGGATCTGCTACTGCTACCATCAACTGGGTACATTGACAGCATCAGTTATCAGATCTT